TATATATTATCCAGTGAACAGTGGACACACTCTGAAAAACAAAAAAGAAGCCTACATTTTCAAAGCTGCAGAAGGGGTGTGCAAATCAAGCAACAGGGGTTTCAATTTTTATTTTCTGACAAAATATAGACATGAAAATTCATTATATACACAGTAATGTTGAAACTAGTCCTGTAATGCCACTTTCTGCACTTTCTGTCACTATCTATCTATCGATCTATCTTCTGACAGAGAAATTGTGCGCTGTTGTGGATAGAAAACAGTGTTATCACAAGGATAACATAATGTCCACCTGACACTACACTTGAGAGTCTATGTACTTTACATCTTATGGACCATGAAGATTTCGGACAAGTCCTACTGCTTCACACTGGAGTAAACACATTCGGTCTTGCTGTTCCTCTCTTTCTTTGATTTTCTGGAAATGTTAACATTTATAGAAGCATAGTGGAGGTTGTCTGTTTGAGCATTCTGTCAAAAAAAGGAAATGTATATCAAAAAATGCCTTCTAATAAAAAGTGCTGTGAAAAATGTGTTTTATGTCATTTAAATTGTAAAATTGTTTAAACAGATGAAACATACCTCTACAGAGGGAGCTGAAAATCTTGCTTGAGCCTCTAAATGTGAAATACATACAATTGAAATCTGATTGAAAAGCCAAATAAATGAATACAAGCTGTTAGATGTAAGTAGCACCAATGGTCCATACCTGATTGGAAGTTTTTTCTTTTATTCATCTTGTAGAGTACGAAAGTCAGAGAAACCACCACGGTGAAGGTGAAAGCCAATGCTCCACTCAAGAAATACACCAAGAAGTGAGATTTATTCTTGTCTGTAAAGACCCAGAATTCCAGATCAAGGATTTCAGAATGTTTTTTGCACTTTTTAGAGTTTTATTAGCACAATATTGTATTTGTTGTGACAATGTTCCTTACCCTTATATTTCAGAGTAGTTCCTTCTCCGAACAGTATGTGTCCACATGAGGCAACAGCACAGTAGTAGGTTCCAGCATGAGACACATTTATGCTCTCCATAGGCAGGTTGTAAGTGCAGTTGTATGTTTGTTCGTTCTTCTCACACTGATCGTTCCTGCCTCCATGGGTGTAAAGGAGTCCTGGGTAAAAATCTCCAGAGTCTTTGAACCAGTAAACACTATGATCTTCATCACAGGTCCCAGTGTATACTGTACAGTTCAGAGTCACAGAGCCTCCTGGCTGGATGGTCTCAGATGCTGACTGCTGCACTAAAGCTTTGATGTTTAAACCTGAACCTTTTACACTGACAGTAGTGCCTTCTGCAAATTCTAGGACTAAAGAAACCCGCCTTGCGCAGTAGTAAGAACCTGAGTCTGACTTCTGCAAGTCTGTTATATACAAATGGTTTTTCCCTATTTCTGTATCCAGGGTGAAGCGTGGATTGTTCTCGAATTCATCATGAAAAGTCCCATTTGCTTTAAAAACATACTGAGTAGAGATGGGCTTTGGTTTCTGTCCAAGACTCTGCTTGTACCAGTAGAACCTCGTTGCATCGTTGGCTTCATAGAAACATTGTAAAGTCAATTGTTCACCAACAATAGCTGATACAAACCGTCTCTCTTGCTTATGAGTTACGGAGAAATTCTGGTGAGTCAACTGAACTGATAGAGAATGAGACAACGCAGACACAGCATTAATTTTACAGGAAACATTTCATGAACACATGTGTATAGAGGAGCAATCATAGCCACTGATAGATTAAAAAAAATCATAACTCACCTAAATTTCCAAAGATCAGACATGTCACATAGAAAACAAAGTTGGGAGGTGTCATCGTGTGCAAACCTCTGTGTTAAATGAAATGAACCTTGACTTTTTTCCACTCTTTAGAAACAAGACAGCTTTTGATTGGCCATTGCAAAGCCATGTGATCTGCCCCCAGGATGAAATGTGTCTTCTGTGCGTTTAACACAGACATTTGTTGCCTTTGGTAGAATGATATAGCGACAGGTCCATAATGGTTGTGTCATGGCTTTTTTGTTTTTTTAAAAATATATTTTTAGTCTAAAACTGATCATTACATAGAGTGTAAACACAACTGACAACATACAGTGGAACTTATTCCTGTTCATCATTTACAGACTCAGTAGAGACTCAGTAAGGCACCCGGCACTTGCTAGATGTTCGCATGATATCGATCTCTTTGTGACAGTATGACTGACACACTTCTCATGCTGTCCAGAGGAGGCATACTGTAATGAGGTCTGTATACACTTTTTTGATGCTGTGAAAACTGCAAACAGATTTCAACTCACTTTCATCGTAGAAGTGAGAATAAAAGCAAATGTAACATGGTAGGTCTTTATGTTAAAAGGTAGCATGTGTTTTGTGTTCTTATTATTTCGGAAGGTCTGTTGCCATTACTGTTATTTGAAATGGACTGTAGGTAATATGTCTGTGTTATCTAAAGGGTACTGACAGTGCCATTCAGGTAACACTATTGAAATTGACTTTGCTGCTATTTCTCTCAGGTAGCATCTATTTTTGGTCAGACTAACACAGTAACATCCTCCCAAAAACCACAACCTGACACAGAGAGGAAAGAGTAAATCATTGCACTTTGAATGTCTGAGTCAGGACTAAGACTGACAGGGAGTAACAGCAGAGCTAGTAGTACTTCATGCATTGCAAATGAGATAAAAAAAAATACATTTATATATATTATATATATGGTACTGAAAACATTTTTTATAATTCTGTAACATTTTCAGCCTTAAATTAAATCTTTATGGTCTGCCAAAGGAGTCTCTCTGCAGCTGAAAACGAATTACTTTGCAATCAGAATACATTTAAGAAAAGACATTGGTGGGCATGGTTTGTGGTGCAGCTGCAGGGGAGTGGAACTCCATCAGCAACCATGGCTCACCTACATAAAAAGAATGAACTGGGTCCTGAGTTCATTGTTGTGTGTGTGTAAGTGCAGCTGCAGCCGAGTGCTGAAAGTAATAGCAACACAATAAAGTTGCCGAAGTGTACGAAGTTTGTGGTGGGGTCCGTCATGCTTGCTACAGACATGTCAAGCATGCAAAGGAAAAATCAAATGTTATTTTATTTAGCTAACTTCCCCATTATGTTCAGTCCCTTAGACATCTCTGGATACAGTCTACTTCCTGTTAATAACCACAGATGCATTTAACAAAGATTATAAAAAAATAAGATTAAATAAGTGCCAGTGTTTGTATGATTACCTTTGGGTAAATGCATTCCCTAGTTTTCTATGATCAGATAATTGAGGTCAGCTGTATTAGTCAGCCTCCCCTAACACTACACCCTGAACCCGTTGCTCCACCTCTCTGGACACAAAGCCAGGCACAAACCAACTCCAAAAACAACCTCACCTCATTTTTGCTCTTGGGATGCGTGCTTCTTCAGGTTGGCTGTGAGCCCCGCCTGCCTAAAGGACTCCAGGACTGCAGTCATCCACCGCACATGCTCTGCCCAGGTTTCACTGTGAATGATGACATCATCCAAATAGGCGGCAGCATATGTAACATGTGGACAAAGCACCTGGTCCATGAGGCACTGAAGGTGGCTTGGGCTCCGAACAAGTTGAATGGAAATATGACAAATTGTGTGGAGAAAGCAGTTATTTCTCTGTTGTTGTGAAAATGTGAGCAGTGCCTAACCAGTGCAGGAGTTTGTCAACCTGAGGCATTGGGTAGACATCAAACTCCTTATGGTAGTTGATGCAAAACCTATGGGACTAGACAACACATTGTGTGACTCTTCTATTGCTAATATTGTTAGCATTTTGGCCAATTTTCTCTCAATATTTGTCTCTTATGCTGGGGTAAGCTATAGGGCTGTTAATGCAACCTCACACAAGGGCACATTACAAAACAGTGCTCTTTGACACTGGTATGACAGGTCAGGGGGATACACATCTGCAAAAGGCTTTCGCAAAGCAGCAACAGCTGCTCTCTGGGCCTGTGTGAGATGGTCATCATAATGGAGGGAGGTGGGAATGGTGGAATTGGGCAACTCCAACTTATTTCTCACCAGGCTTAGTAGAAAAGCTGTTTTAGCCTCTCTCCATGCTTTTAGGAGGTTGAGGTGATATATGTGTGTGGCTCCTCCCCTGTTTGAAGGCACCACATCATAGTCAATGTCATCCACTCACAGTGTGACCACAAAGGGTTCTTGCTACTTGGTGAGTAACTTGGAGCTAGAAGAAGGGAATAATGCAAACACTTAGGCAATTTTCACCGGGAGACAGAAGCTGCGTCCAAATTCAGGGGCTGCATCCTTTGGACGCTGGATTTGTAGACCGATTACATGACAGCCAGACGACGCAGGCTGTCTCAGACTCCTCCAAATGCGGCCGACAAATGCGTCCTTCATTTCCCGGGTTTGAAGGATGGGTTGGGTGTATCCTTTGTTGCCCAACCTATCCCAGAATTCAAACAAAGGCGACGCTACTTGGTTTTAATACTACTCTTTCTGAGTCTCAAAATAAACTTTTAAGATATTTTCAGGTGAGAATGTAGCTGTGTAAACTTCAAATATCTGCTCGATTTATAAAGACTTTGCATATTTGCAAAAGTGCTCTGATGCTTTTGCTTTTCGCAGTCTTTTGCTTCTCAGGTTAAACATGATGATATATAAGTCACTTAGATAACTTAAAAATGTTATTGTTTGGCTTTTTTTAAGTGTTTTATTTGGTCCTGAGTAAATCGGTTTGGCTGTGATTAAAGTTCTAGTTTTTACACATCTGAATAAATGTCAAACAGAAAACGGATTAAACTGAAATGTGAGATGGTTGAGAATTTACTCCAGTGTTTTATTATATTTTAGATAGCAAGGAGCAGACAGCTGACTTTATTAAACTCCACAGAGATAGCTGGTTACGCAAATCATAGGCTAGACCGTCCCATTTTACAGCCTTGCACTTCCGGCCTTCGAAGGACGTGTCCCACGGTGTTCCTCAATTTCAAGTCATATCATATATCATATCCCCATATATTAGTGGACAGCGGGGGTTTTGGAGCCTCTACTATATTCTACAGGAACAAATCAATCCTTTCAAATATGCTTTACCGAGCTAAAATAGATTTATTTGATCATCAGTGAATTTGTACACAATGTCTCAATAATTACGTGAAAAGCAATAAGGATAAAAACAAGCACATTGTTTCATATATTAAACTTGTAGAAAAGTATCATTAATATCTCCTACAAATGCATTGGTACATGGAAAAAACAATGAAAGAACAAGAAAGAAAGGAGGAATCCTTGACATCACAAAAACAACAAACAGGGCAGAAGTTCCTAAATTTGTATCATTACAATTTTACCACAGTGAAAGTACAAAAATGTCTATGCTAAGAGACAGCAATACAGCATTTCTCTAATAGATAAAGAAAATTGGCCACCTCATTTGCAAATATCCATCTTTATTTGTTTATAGCAGAGTAAACACATTCATTGTCTGTGTCGTTTCTCTGCGTTCTTGATCTCTTGGGGATTTTAATGCTTAAAGCAGCATAATGAAGGCTGTCAGCATGCTGGAAACCCTGTCAAAATGTGTACAAAGTAGATAAGAACATGATTTCAGATTTAAACAATGGCCATAAAACAGAAGACTGTAAAAAGTTTGTTGAAGAGCGCTTTAAGAAGTCATTAAAAAAAACGATATTCACCTCCGAACTTGTTGCGGGGCCTGAAAGTCTTGCTTGAGATTCTGTTTGTGAAACACAAAGTAATTGATTTAACTGAAAATCCAACTTTAGCTAAAACCGTTCTAAGCCTAAAAGACTCCACTTACCTGTCGATTGGTGTCTGTTTCTTTTGTTTGTCTTGTACAGCAAGTATCCCAGTAAAACACTGAGGATGGAGCTGAATGTCAAAGCTCCGCTCAAGAAATACACCAAGCCCTGAGAATTAAACGTGCCTACAACACACCAGAAACAGAGCTTTTTCTTGCCTATATCTTTAAATATTGATAAAGTGAGCAACATGTAGAAAAGGTTACTCACCTTTAGGCTCCAGCTTGGTCCCATTTCCAAATAGTATGCGTCCACAAGAGGTAACAGCACAGTAGTAGGTCCCAGCATGAGAAACACTCAGGTTACTCATTGGCAAGCTGTAGACACAGGTGTGCGTTTGTGTGCTGGGTTTGTTATCACACTGATCGTTTCTGCCCAAATGTGTGTAAATGAGTCCAGGATGGGATTCGTCTGAGTCTTTGAACCAGTAAACACTCTGCTCTCCATCACAGGTCCCAGTGTGTACTGTACAGTTCAGGGTCACGGAGCCTCCTGGCTGGATGGTCTCAGATGCTGACTGCTGGACCACAGCTTTGATGTTCACACCTGAACCTTTTACACTGACGATGATGTTTTCTAAAAAGGTTAAAGTGTATAAATAGTAAACACAGTAGTAAGTAGCTGAGTCTGAAACTTGCAAATCTTTGATCGTCAAGTGATATTTGCCGTCTTGTGTTTCCAGTGTGAAGCGTGGGTTGTTCTTGAGCTCTTCATTAGACGAGTTGTTCACATTATATTTGAAAAAGTGAGAGATGATCTTTGGTTTTTGTCCCAGATTTTGCTTAAACCAGTAAAGTCTTGCAGACCTGTCACCATCATGGAAACATTTTAATGTCAGGTTTCCACCAACTTGAGCTGATATGAAACGAGACTCTGGATGAACAGATGAGAACATTTGGAACATTTGCGACTCTGTCATCTGAACTGTAGTGGAATTGAAAAAAACAAACAAATGTACATTCAGTTCAATGTAATAACTTCACAATACAAAAATCTGAATTCATGATAATGGAACTTACCCATTTTTCCCAAGAACAGACACAGAAGCCTGAAGACAAACACTGAAGACACCATTGTGGTAAGATTCTCATGTAAAATGAAGGTTACTGTGCTGCTTTTGAGAGGCAAGAATGTGTTTGATTGGCCAGCCAGAGGTGACACAGTATCTACTGTATGGAAGTCATGATCACATGTTTACTGCAGCCTGTAGTGGAAAATACAGTATGATATCTAAGAAGAATTACACGGTTAGACATAGCCTATATTCAAAAATTATGAATCGGAATCAGATCTAAAACTTTAGAAAATGATCAATTTTTTTTTAATTGGACCAGTTTACCTGCATTTCCAGTATACCCCACTCTGTAATGAAAACACATTTAATTAAAAACATGTGTTGAGTAATAACTTGAGTATACAGAATACTGATTCTGGCAGTGAGCTCATTGTAGATAATAAAAGGTTAAACAAGAAAACGGCAACTTCTGGGTCCAGAAAGAGATAATCAGGAATATTTGTATTCACACAGGATTTTGATGTTTAACATTCAGGATTAGGAAATCGTTGCTCTTAAGTTGCATAAATGCAATGTCACATTTTTAATTCATATCATTTTTACTGAGTTTCAGCATCTGTGTCAGATTATTTTACTCTCTACTCAACTGCTGTTTGCATAATCACTGTTATACAATAATGGTTCTGAGCTCATATGAGTTGCAGCATGAAATAAACAAGACCTGTGGAAAACTACAGTTTTGTTGGGTGTTTACAGCAAGTGGTCCTTGGGTCATGAAGTATGTGTGAGCGTAAGAGCACATCCTGCTGAAACCACAGAGGCCGTTGCACTGACACATCTAAATAGAAAGATGGTAAAAGGCACTGTGTTTGACAGGATGCAACCACTGTTACCTTTCTGTGCCTGCTTGTCCTTGTAACACAAGTGTAGGACTAGTGCAGCGGTTAGACTTTTCATTGTGATATATTTAAATGTTTACAGTTGTGAACTCACAACGTATGAACCCTGCTTCTGGGTCCATTAAAGCTGTTGTGTTTTTAACATGTTTTAATGCTTTGTATCTTGTTCTATTTAATCTGAACAACCCCCTAACAAAGAACAGTGATCACTGTCAGTCCTCCTGTTTTTTATTACCACTAATTATTTTAAAGCTCAGTTTTTAAAACGTTACAATGTAGCTACAGCCCAGCCCATGCAGCAGTCTGTTAATGACTAACCTCATATTGTGGATAGATTATCTCAGTTGTTCTCCTGACTAAAGTTTTGTCCATTTACAGCATCCTGCCGTGTGATTGCATTTGTCCCTGACCATTGGGAACCCTCCTGTTAACTTTTATTGAGTGGAAAAAAAGTTACATTCATCCTCTAGCTTAACTGTGTTTATATTATGCTAACCATAGCTGTGTAGCTAGCCAAAAAGTAGCACATCATTATATACCAGCTAGTCCAACTTCAGTAATCCTACAAACGTCACTGCTGTTTAGTTTTCTGTCTTCATTTGTGTCGGAGATGATAGCTAGCTGTACATTTTAATTTCTCAAAAATCCCTCAGTCAGAACATGGTATATCATCTTTAGATGGAAACTAGTGAGCTAACTCAATGCTAACTTCATAGATTCTGTTTTGGTAGAATCTAGTGGATGTTAAAATTAATTGTTACACCTGATAGAGCAGCCACACTGTTCATTTTATTACAGATGAAAGGATTTAGACAGTTTTTAACTCTCAGTGATGCCGCAGAGTTTGTCTGACTTTGGGACCTGAAGTGGAGTTTGGATCCAGAAACGGCTAATGATGTCAGACTTAAAGGCCGTATTTCCTTGACTCAGTTTTGTTCCACCTCTTTGCTCTCCGACTACCTACCTGGACTTGGTCAGGATTGAAGTCCATTTGTTGCATTCGGATGTTCAGGACTGAGGATTAACCTGTCAGAAATTTGAGCTAACATTAGTCAACATTTGACACCTACCGAAAGGATCATTGTAGATGATATCTGACTGCTTCATCTTCTACGATCAGACAAAACACTGACATCACCTGCGTAATATTGTGGTAGTTCATCTTTTGCTGCCAACGAGTGAAATGGACATGCATGCAGAAGTCACAGTAACCTACAGTACCAGTAGAAGGAGTTATTTTATTTCAACCACACAAGAAAAATAATCACGAGAAAGCAACACTGTTACAGCAGGAAATGCCGTTGTGTTTTATGGAAAGGACCCAAAATGCAGACACGGGAGAAATGAACTGGTGTCTAAACAAAAAAACATTGCAGCTGATACAAAAAACAGAAAAACAAGGCAAAGCAAAACAAGGGTGAAACTAAACTGAAACTTAAACTGGGATAATGACGATGGGCAAGAACATGAAACTGGACAGGATCATGCGAGAACATAACTATGAAACAAACCAAATACGAAACAGAACATTAACATTAACAAAACCTCTCAGACTTGACATGAAAACAAACTGATGACCCAACAAAGAACAGAAGGAGACAGAGGACTTAAATACACTAAAAACTCAACTAGATCCTAAGTAAGAATAACACAAGAACTCACATACTAAACATAAGAAAATACAAAATACAAAACAAACTCAAAATGCTGGGTCACAGACCCAGCCCCTGACAAACACATTTACACGTAAATACATATTAACTCAGACTCACTCAAATACTCACACTCGCCTATTTTTCTAACACATCAACTTTGAGAACAAAGTGTTTACTTGCTCCCAAATATCGTGACACTCATACGTATCACTTCACCTGTTAGTACTTATAATATTATGCATGATCAGTGTATATTATTAATACAAATAGCAGACACTTCCATTTTCAATATGATGAATTATAAACAAATTATTATGTATGTTTTTTTTAGATGCAGATGTTTTATGCAGTCTCAAAGTTGATTTGAACCAGAGTTTTAAGTGAAAAATTTCATTTGAAAAGTGACGTTTTTATATGATACTGGGACAATCAGTGTGGAGCTTGAATGTTCTTCTTGTATTCATGTACTGTGTAGGGTAATAGGTTAACTCTAGTTTATTTTTTTAATTTGGCACCAGAACAACTACATTTCTTTATTATCTAGAGTTAAGCTGAATTCTCTGACACACATAATACTGTCACTAACAGTCACATGGGTCTGCGTTATCACTGGATTGAACATGCACACTAGTGATGGGATTTCCGGCTCTTTTTAGAGAACCGGCTCTTCAGGTTGTTTTGTTGCTTTAATTAATTTATTATTAACAATAATATAAAATTATGCACAAAAGGAATTACTAATGTAAAAAAAAAAGTGGTTTTATTTATATATGTTTATATATAAATATATACGGTGGCCCCCAGAGACAAAACACGTACAAACTCCAAAACACATTATAGCGTTAACTGAACTTCCAAAACAGAGTTACCTAGATCACTTAAATTACACAATTAAAAGCATATGCGTATTCTTTGTGTATTTATACACAAGCACTCATATATATTCAAATAATTTTTTAAAAAAAAGTTCATTTACCTGTTACTACCACACACCAAATCCGGTCGTTGGTACTTGCTGGCTTGTGTAGCCTCTAGGTAACAAAAGCTCAGCACTGCGCCCAGCATCCTAGAGCACTTCTGTTGTGTTTTTACGTGTTTTGGAGTTTGTACGTGCTTCAGGGTTCGTATGTGATTTGAAGTTTGTACATGCTTTGTCTGTAGGGGCCACCGTAAATATATTTTTATTTATTCACTCCACATAAAATGTAATAAAAAAAATCATATAATACAAAAACCAACTATTCACATTTCAACTTTTACTATTTAAATTCTCAGCTTTTCCCTTTTACAAATTTAAAGTGAAACACAAAACACTGCAAACCACAACACAATTAAATCTAAAATATGAAAACAAAAAGAAGATGCAGATTCTCTGTCATATGGGCCCGCATGAATAAACTTTCTGAATCCTTTATCAACCGAAAATAGTTGTGGATGATTACTATACCTTTCTAATGTGACGTTGTTGGCTCTCTTTCTCTCTCTCTCCCTCCCGCTCTGTTCCCGTGCTACTGAGTGTAACTACCGCCCCTCCCCCCTCTGCCCAGCGCAAAACACAAGGCTTATGTGCGGAGTGAAGCGGAAAAAAAGTGCGAGAGAGAGGGTGAGAGAAGGAAAAAAAAAAAAACCCACTCGCATCGTTCATGTCAAAGATCCGGCTCTAAGAGCCATTTCGTTCGCGATCGACACATCACTAGTGCACACACACAAGTCAAGCTTTGAAGGTCTTTCAATTTTTATTGTGGTTTATCTTCAGTAACATATGATTTACAAAAGAATCTTACAGAACATTTTGTTGAGAGAAGAATTTAGAATACAGTAAAATTACAAAAATTATTTACCAGCAGAAAAATCAAAAAAATGTTATTGTGATTATGACGCCCCCCCCCCCCAACAAATAAAACAGAAGCCACAAATGCATGTATTATATTTTATCTGCACACCACAAACAGCACAAGTAATCTATGAAAGAAAGAAATGTTCAAATCTGAATTTTATTCTACAGTTAATCTCAAAAGAAGAACATTGTGTCTTAATAACAAATGAAACACATCCAGTTTTACTGTTGTTTGTACCACTGTAGCTGCACACTGTAGTACGCACATTCACTCCAGGTCTGATCTCTCCGACTTTTTGACCGGTTGTGCAGGTTGACAGTTGAAGCAGCAAAAATGAGCTTCTCTGTTTGAAAACCCTAAAAACAAGAAACGTATTAAAAAAATATTTCCACTGATGGATTTTTCCGTAAGTAAAATCTAACTGAACATTATTAACTCACCTTTGCATCTGCTCTGGAAGGGATTGCTTGAGGCTCTGCAGCATAGAAAGCAATATATTAACATTCAAAGTTCTAGAAGTTGTGAGCTAAAAACAAAACAGTTGTTACCTGAAGATTCACAGCCACAGTTATTGCTCATACACAGTAAGAAAGCCAGCAGTACACTCAGGATGGAGGTAGATGCAAAGGCGCCGCTCCAGAAAGTCCAGAAAGAAGCACGATTATCT